CCTCTGTCGCTGCGTGGAGGTCAGTATTATCTGGAGTGATACATTTCTTTCCAGTGTGGAATTTAAAAGCTTATATTCCCACACTAATTATCTTAAATTCCATTACCACAGAGCATGACCTCGTTTTGTCAGTCAATCGCTCAAATCACTTGTGTTGGTGGACCTTAACTTCATGTAATAAGGGTACATAACATAACGTTATAGTAACTAACCGGCTCTTATCTGTACCAAGAAACAGAATTGCCCACCGGTTTGTTTTACGCTTCAAACTAACATTCATTACTCAGTACCTGTACCTAAATGTGGCGTTGCACGTGTCATTACTCAGTACTTTTTGTGTGTGTGTGTGGTGGGGGGTGGGGGGGGTAGTGAATAAAGCATTGGTTATGAGTACTCGTAGTTTTGTGTATGTATGTAGTAATATAAAGGTCATTATCAGTGAGTGTTACGAGATGTGGTAAAAACCGCAGACGTTCCAGAGATTACGGCAAAGCTTACAGTCAACCTTGTTTGGTAAGAACATTCAGAATAACACAAACACCAAAAAACTGACCTTGAAAAACCATAGGCGACGAGCAATCAGCATGTTCAGAAGTACACGAATTGAAATCTGGAGCAAAATCGATGATGTAAGATTATGGCTGAAACGGTAAGCCTTATTACCTCAGAACTGAAATTTCATGTGTGTAAATACTTAAGGTGGTGTTCGTCTTTAAGGGCGTGCGGTGATGATGATGATGGTGGTTCACAAACTTCACATAGCCTAGAATGTCATGGCGAGGGAGGAAAACATGACGTCTCAAAGTTCTGTAACTGAACATGACATTCTATCTTCTGCTTGTTTGTCCAGTTGTTGCTTTTGTTTAATTTCCTCCTGGTCATCATGCTTATAGACCACACCGTGTAGCTTATCTTTGATTCTGACTGTTCGCCTAAAACACACACACACACACACACACACACTCTCACTCTCTCTCTCTCTCTCTCTCTCTCTCTCTCTAATGTTGCCAGCAGAGGGAGAGGCCCATTGCGTCATTTGTGGTAAAATTACAACACCATCAACATACGCGACGTTGATAAGATAATAAGAACGGATAGACGTGTTTACTGTGTAATACTTTACAGTCATATTTACAAAAACTTATGGATTCTTTTTATATCCAATGTATCGTTTACAAGATCGGAGGAATAATAATCCAATTTTATAAGTATCTTCTTGGACTTGATTTGTCTTATCGACGATAGAAAAATACAAAGTAAAATATGCTCCAATTCGATATAGATTCATATATATTCATGTTTTATTGTGTTTTGTTTTTCCAGCAGTGGGAATGACAGTACAGTACTCGTCTAGTAATTCTATAAAATTTCAGAGTACTTAAATTGTTATTTTAGACTAATGTAAGAAAGTTTTAGACGGCTTTTTAAGGTGTGTTCGTGTGATCCAGGCTGTTCGTGTGATCCAGGCTGCTCGTGTGATCCAGGGTGCTCGTGTGATCCAGGCTGCTCGTGTGATCCAGGCTGCTCGTGTGATCCAGGCTGTTCGTGTGATCCAGGCTGCTCGTGTGATCCAGGCTGCTCGTGTGATCCAGGCTGCTCGTGTGATCCAGGCTGCTCGTGTGATCCAGGCTGTTCGTGTGATCAGGCTGTTCGTGTGATCCAGGCTGCTCGCGTGATCCAGGCTGCTCGCGTGATCAGGCTGCTCGCGTGATCAGGCTGCTCGGCGTGATCAGGCTGCTCGCGTGATCCAGGCTGCTCGCGCTGATCCAGGCTGCTCGCGTGATCAGGCTGCTCGCGTGATCAGGCTGCTTCGCGTGATCCAGGCTGCGTGATCCCATCGGCTGCTCGCGTGATCCATCCAGGCTGCTCGCGTGATCAGGCTGCTCGCGTGATCAGGCTGCTCGCGTGATCCAGGCTGTTCCAGGCTGTTCGTGTGATCCAGGCTGCTCGTGTGATCCAGGCTGTTCGCGTGATCCAGGCTGCTCGCGTGATCCAGGTTAACTCAATCCCAAATGTCATCAAAATTACACTGGTATTTTGCCTTTGATAAGAAGTCTTGAAACAACAATCCAATACAATATGAAATCCGGAAACAGGAAAATTTCAGCACATAAACGACTCCAGCCTCCCAGTTTCTTTTCATATAAGAGATTTTTTTTTTATTTTAAGGATAGGAATTAAAATATGTTACTTCAATTCATATATTCTCCATTTACATTCGTATTTGCAATAGAGTGGGAGAAAAAGTGTAAACACCAGCCTGCGGGTGTGGTGTGATTCCGGAAACCTGTTGGTAGAATACAATGTCATACTGTATCTGTTTGTCGCCGTCTTTGTTTACTTCTTTACTAGAGTGGGATGTAAGGAACGGGTTAATGACGCCTTCTTGCACGTGAATCCTTACACGTTTGTCATTTCAACATTTTTTGCACTGAATTCATTACTGGGTCATCCATCGTAACACTGTTCATAATTACGACAAATATATATGGTAAGTGTAAAGCAATATAAACTTAATGAGAGGTAGTCGGCCACAAGAATAAGTATACAGCCATGTGACAAAATATCTGGTAACACTGTCCTGGACGGAACAGACAAAATTACAAAATGACCTGTAATTTGTTTTATTCCTACATATATGTTATAAATACATTTGTTGTGAATGTTTTACTAGTGTCTTGTGTTTATATTACAAGTAATATAGTGTATCCAATGGTAGTAAATTTGTTGCCGAATGGAATTGCAGTTATTGTACAGCTCCCTTTTTCTCCCCCACTTTTTCTCTTACCCTACTTTTTTTTGCTGATGTTTGGATTAGTAAAGGAAGGAATAGGAGTAAATAGAGGAATAAAGAAGGGGAAACATAAAATAGTTAGAGATAACAGGTGGGAGGAGCTGAGTTTCACCATGCGTCTGCATGCGCAGTTTCAACGTTACCAGATCATTTTTGGACCTTACAACTGCAGTGTGTATACTTATTCCTGTGGCCGACTGTACCTATTACGTGGGAATATGTATGTATGTATGTATGTATGTATGTATGTATGTATGTATGTACAGTCACCCAAAAAAGTCCTGTCGCGAACCACGATTCAGACTCTTGAATCCGAAGCATTTATGGACAGAATAATGTATCAGTGTCTACTGCTTCGGGTTCACGAGTCTGAATCGTGGTTCGCGACAGGACTTTTTTGGGTGACTGTACCTGTATCCATGTATGTACAGTGTGGGGTTTGAGTTGTTTGGTTCACACTCAGGATGGAATGGAGAAAGGAAACTCACGATGTGCTCTCTATATACATGTTGTATTGGATGTACAATGCAGCTTGGTGCTGGGAAGGCAGCATGGTTACAAGCGTGATGTAGAGAGAGCTGGTTGGTGAGGATGGTCAGAGGAGGACAGCTTGTGGGTCGCCATGCTCGCCGGCGGGAGAGAGGACCGCCAGGCAGGCGGAGGAGGAGGAGGTGTTGCTGGCTGGTTGGTGTAGGTAGAAAGAGAGTGATCACCACGAGGTCAGGTCTTAAATAGCGGGGGTAGGCGTGGCTTAGCAGTTGACCCCCGCTCCGTGGTGTATGGCGGCGCTGGTTGACCTAGACCACGAGGCATACACTGGGGAATTGGTGGGGTCGGCTACTCAGCGACAAACAGCGTTTGTAGGGGAGAATTCCACTACAACAGTATGTATGCATGCATGTATATATGTGTGTAAACAATTCGACCTGTGGTGTAATCGTCAGCATGCTCGCCTCGCAAGCGAGCGGACCCGGGTTCAATCCCCTGGCAGGGTGAATATATGTGCAAGTTTCTTTACGCCATTTGCCTGTCTACCTAGCAATAATTGGGGACCTGGATGTTAATCGATTTGCGGATCGTATTCCGGGGTAATGGTTAGCCAGTGCAGTTGGCGTTGTCCAATCTTCTCGGACTATTCCTTGACACTGGGTCATGCAACTCGTTAAATTAGGGTGTGGTTGTTGTGTTGGCGACAGCTTCTACACCTTAAACAAATTCACGCCTAGAAGGCCCTTGGGCCGGCCATGCTCGTTACACATGGGGCATTCATTATTATTATTATTATGTAAATAATAATAATAATAATAATAATTAACGGTTTATTAAGATTACATGGCAGACCGAAGGCTGAAAATATACAATGAATAGAGATAAGTTATGTATGTATGTATGTATGTATGTATGTATGTATGTATGTATCCAGTATGTATATGTGTGTGTGTGTGTGCGCGCGCAATTGTGAAGCAGCCTTTCCAGTACTGACCGTATCACTAAACAGTTATGACATCTAGTTATTAATGTATACTGAATAGTGTTTAAGATCATATTATGATCTTAAACACTATTCAGTATACATTAATAACTATAATGTCATAACTCTTTAGTGATACGGTCAGATAGTTACTGTAAAAGCTGGTTCACAATTGCACATACAGTACAGTACAACGGACGAGCTTGCTCAGTGAGAGTGCCTCCGGAAATTGCTGATAAAGGAACAAAGTTGGATATTTTTTATACATTATCTATTTGGTGAGATGTGTACTGAAACACCCCAACGTGTTGCTACTGTGAAGACAAACAAATTTCGATCTTAAAGGTGTCTTGTGACAAACCCTCGACTTCAGATGCAGGCTGCAGTCGGTTCAACGTTGTTTAGTATAATTCGTAGAGACTTGTTAACTTGATTGTGGTGGATTTATTATTTGAATTAGTTATATGGCAATATATTAAGTTATTAACCAATAAAATATATTAATGACCCTCCTAGTCGATGTTCCAACATTGACGTTAAGGAAGGATCAGCTGTGCCGTGTTTTGATACTTGTCTCAAGTTATTTACAATGGAAGAGGTGAGTAGGAAGATTCTACGTAGTCACAACACTTATATACTTCCTGCAGCAGTGATTAAATCCGTCAAGTGTTATTAGTTTGGTTTTCAAAATTCCAGAACGCCAAATTAAAGGAGATTAAAATCCACTCGTGGACAACTCCTCAGAGTCGTTGTTTCGAGTTAACGATAATCAAAGAATTTCTCCTGGTACAGTCGTTACAGGTTACCTTTACGAAGTGGAGCACCAATGTAAAATATATGTTGGTTAAATTGTTCAGTGGCTTGTTGTTAAGGGCTAAATTTAGGCGGCAGACTACGTGTACTTATGAAGGTTTGATCTAACTAAGCTTTTCCCCGACTACGTTAGAGTTTAAACAGTGGTCTATGCTGAGAGGACATCTACAATGGCTTATTTAGCCTACTATAAGGTAAATGTGATATTGTACAGGTTAGTGCAAGTATAGGTATGAGTAAAGGCGTCACAGAAGGATATTGTAAGTTTGTATGAGAGCTGAGAGGGGAGGGTCCTCCTTAACACTGATACACAGAAATAAGCTTTAATCTCAGGAATTGTGTTTATAAACTTATCATAAATTTTTAATAAATAAGGTCTGTTTGCATTTTAATGGTAGTTAGTTTGTTGGACATGAGGGTAAGAATGAGTTAATATATACAGAACACAGACATTGGCTCCTTGACCTTGCAACAAAGTATGGTTTTTCTAGATATTTTTAGTTTATTATCTAAGCACTGGTAATACTTGTGTCTTGTGAAGCTGCTTCATTTCTGAGTTATGACCCCTTTCCTCTAATTCTGTAAATTAGGTTAGGTTGGTTTAGTTTGTATATTTTAGGTTAGTTTAGCTCAGGTTAGTGTCAGTAACTGCCACAATTTTCTATTGGAGAGGTTGGATATTTATAAGAATCCAGGTAAAGGTCACAAGAAAAAGTCACAAAAAAAAGGCCTGGAAAAACCTAACCTACCCTAACCTACATGCAATGCCATCATATATATATTGTGTTGTCAATGTGTACAAGTAACGAGACTTTTTCCTGTGACTTTATTTCCGTTCACCGTTTATAACACTGGTGCCAGCAGCTGAAAACAGTGAAAGAAACACTTGAACCCCCAAATTTATAAAAATAAAGTAAAATACTGTGCTATGTTTTAGGTCGTTTAACCCCACATATTCCCTCTTTCTTAAAGACTTCCCTACTTTGTGGGTATTGAAAGAGGAGAATGTTCATTAAAAAATAAAACAAAGCATTTGCACAAGAAATTGTTATCACCGGTGTATAGAGTATTAAAAAAATAAAGACAGTGTCTCACTGGGTCAAGGAGTTGGTGTTTTCTATATACTACTTTGCTGTCACTCGGAATCAAGTATGACGATCATCCAGCTATGCTACAATGATACGAGTTATTAGGGATGTCACCTAGGTTAGTGAGTTTTAAGGTGACTAAAGAAGCCGATACGGGACCCGCAGCGTCGTCCACATTCGTTGCACATGTGGAGGGCTCCATCTACTGTGGGAGGGGCGGTGGCAGCGTCTTTCCGACATTGGCGCTTGTCTGCCTCGGTTTGCAGTCGGGCTAACTCGAAAGCTTTGACACTTTCTTGTGTGGTGCTTCTCCAAGCGTAACGATGTGGAGTATTCGACTTTCAGGTGAGGGCGTCGATTTGGCACCTTTTCAAGTTTGTCTTAAGACTATCCTTATACCTTTTCAATTGCCCGCCGGCATTACGTTTACTGTTAATTAGGTGACTGTAAAGTAACTGCTTTGGCAGTCTACTGTCGTCCATGCGGGTAACATGGCCAGTCCAACGTAGTTGTTCATGGATAATGGTAGCCTCGATGCTCCTACAGTTGGTGTCAGTAAGAATACTGGCATTTGTTCTCTCGTCTTCCCAGCGAACTCGGAGGATGGAACGTAGACTACATTAGTGAAAGTTTTCAAGTGCCTTGAGGTGCTTCCTGTATGTTATCCATGTCTCACTGCCATATAGTAGGGTGGGCAGGATCACTGCTCGATATACATGCAGCTTTGTGGATAATTTCAGCTCCTTACAGCTGAAGACACGATTTCGGAGTCCACCCAAGGCTTGAGATGCACATCTGATCCGATAATGAATCTCTTCATCGTTGTTTGCAGTGGTGGACAGGTGGGAGTCAAGATACCGAAAGTGGTCAACATTAGAGAGGGTAGTACCATTAAGCTGGATTGATGGTGGAGGTGTGTGTGAACCAGGGGCAGGTTGAAAAAGAATCTGAGTCTTATGTACATTCACCTCAAGGCCGAAGTGTGCTACGCATCTGCATAGCTGTTCAGGATCTCCTGTAGGTCGTGTTCACTGTGAGCAACAAGGGTGAGGTAGTCTACATACTGAAGCTCGGTAATGGAAGCTGCCGACACCATTGTTCTTGCCTGGAGTTGTCTTATGTTGAAAAGACCCCCATTCACCCAGTAGTTGATGTTCACCCCGCTGGCTAAATTGGTACTGGCACTGGCATGAGTAAGGAAGACAGCCAAGAAGATGGAAAAGAGAGTTGGTGCCAGTACACACCCTTGTTTAACCCCTGTTTGGATGGCGAAGAACTCTGACTGGGTGCCGTTGTGCAGGACACTGCCGTTCCTGCCATCGTGGAGTTGCCTCACAATGGCGATGAATATTGGTGGGCAGCCAAAACAGCTGAGGGTCCACCAGAGGGCTTCCCTGTTGACCGAGTCGAAGGCCTTGGTTAGATCGATGAAAGCCATGTACAGGTCACGACGCTGTTCTCTGCACTTTTCCTGTATCTGGCGGGCAGCAAAGATCGTGTCAGTGGCGCGGATACGTCCGGATACGCCGACCTGCCCCAAGAAATTAAACCTCCTAGTTCTCAAGAAGTTCTTTGAAACTAATGAGATCATGGGGGTCACCAAGGTGGAACGACTGAAGCTCCATGGTGACATCAAGATCACCTTCGCCGAGAAGGGTATGCCCGTACAACTCGCGGAGATCCCAGACATCAACGGCATTCCATTTAAAATGATTGCCTACAAGTGGGACAACCTGAAGCTGGGAGTAATCTCCCACGCCGAAATTGCCCACGTGGACCAAGCAGAGCTGAGTGAGCTCCTCAAGGGGCAACTCCAAGTTGTGAAGAAGCTGTCCGACACCAGAAAAGAAAAACCAAGAAAAGAAAACCCAAGAAAAGAAAACTCAAGAAAAGACACCCGCCACACAGAATCAAGAACACCACGAGGCCCGTGGAGCTGAAGCCCACGTGGTCAACCTCACCGTCTCCGACTTCTTCCACACCTATGAGGACTTAAGACACGAGGAAGACGAACAACAAGACCCAAACACGAATGAATGGACACTTCAAGAGAGCAAGAAGAGGAGGAGAGTTAGAAGAAAATCTACATCAAGCTAAGAAGAATACCAAGACAGAAGACCAAGACATTTCCTCCACACAAGAAAACAACACACACAATCAAACCGACCAAGCACTGAGAATCCATGGCCCAACCCAACACGCACCTGACGCTTGACCTGACGCTAGCCTGACTCTGTCCTGTCGCCTCCTGGCCGCGTCCGGGCGAGTTGCTGCTGCCTCCAACTTATACTCCCTCACGCAAGCGGTGTTTAGCCACTGCACCTATTCTCTCCTCCTAAAATTCACTTCAATCCTCCCTTTATTCTTCCCCTGAACCTCCTTCCCCCCTGTCACTAGCATTTCATGTCATGCCAGGAAGAAGTGTATTTCGGAGGACTTTGGCGATAATCTTGCCAGCTACGGAGAGCAGCGAGATCCCACGGTAGTTGCCACAGTCTGACCGGTCTCCCTTGTTCTTATAAATATTGACAATGGAAGCGTCTTTAAGAGCTTGGGGGATTTCCTCCTTTTCCCATATATTCTCCAGGAGAGAGTGGAGACGGCTGGTAAGCAGAAGTCCTCCTGCTTTATGCACCTCGGTTGGGATTCCATCAGACCCTGAGGCTTTGTTATTTTTCATCTGTTTGATGGTGGTAGCTACCTCATCCAGGGATGAAGCATAGCTGAGGTGGGTCAGCTCTGGATGCTGAGGGACCTGCTCGGTAGTCAGGACATTTACAACGCTGTTTTGGTTGAGAAATGAATGGTAGTGCTCTTTCCAGCGCTGAAGGAGGCCTTCGTCGTCTTTAATTATGTGGTTACCGTCAGATGAGCGGAGGGGGGGGCTGTGCTACGAGTGACTGACCCATAAAATGTTTTGGTGGAAATGAAAAGGTTGCACATTTTGTGCTGATCTGGAAGTTTTTGTGCTTCACATACTTTATTTTTAAGCCAGTCGTTCTTTAGATTGCGTAGTTCCCCCTGAGCTGCCGCTTTCTTCTTAATGAAGGTATCAGCTTTGGTCCGAGACTGAGGGTTGCTCTGCCAGTCAGTAAAAGCTGCTCGTTTATCATCCTTATGTATTCTTTTGGTCTGGCCGAGGGTCTCTCTGCAGGTCTTTGTCATAACAGTATTAAGAGTTCAATCACTGCATCATTGTTAAATAGCTAATGATTTTATATAAGGGATTGTTAACCTCTTATAGTGTTCAGTTATTTAATCTTGCTTCTTGGTTGAATTTGCAGTTGTAAGTGGTGTATGAGAAGGCAACACTGCTCTGCATGGGTTGATTTGCAAGATGCTGAAAACGCATTTTTTTCCATAATTCTTTCACCAGGGATTGCTAAATCTAAGTTTTACATAGTCAGAATTTTGTGTAAAAAAGTCACTGAATTAATACTTTTTACAGATACCTCTGTACCTGTCATGTGCTTGTTCTGAAGTTTAGGAGAATGACCATAATTAGACAATTTTACAAGTACTGTATAGTAGTACAGTATACAAGTTTTATATGAATAATTGCTGTATTTTACACAAGTAAAACAATGTTAAATTTGTTAACAGAGTGCGCATCCAAAGTTGCGTACACACACATCGGACATGGCCTCTCCAGATGCTCTGCCTGATTCAACACAGGATCTTGATGAGTCCTTACCAAATTTGACGGCCGCAGCAGCAGAAGATGAAGAACCCACCAGCTCTCCAGCATCACCAGAGCAGGAGGTTGTTGATGTAGAGTCATATCAGCCTTGTGTTGTGGATCTCACCTGTGAAGATGAAGATGAAGTGGATGTTGTTGAGGTTGTCTCTCAAGAACAACCAGTTATTGTAAGTTAGGTTTATGTGTTTTCTTTACTCTGCGTATACAGTGTAAGATAAATATTAGTATCATAAAAATTTTGTTAGTTTTGAGGATCGGCATATTTCATTACTGTACTGTATTCATAATGATTCCGTCTCAATAACTTTGGGGGTTTTGTTCAGAAATTAAAGTGTGGAACTTTTCTTTGTAACTGTATTTTTGTAAATCAATATTCATAAATTGGGGTCTGCCTGTATTGCAAAGGCTTAGTGTCAGGCTCTTTTCTGACACAGTTGTAAGTGTTATCATGCAAGTAAGATCAATATAAGGTCTTATTTTTATCAGTTGGTAAAGTTTGTTTGTTTGCTGGCCCTAAAAGGTAGCAACCTGTCAGCGTGGTGCGAGTTGCTGACCAAGTAAATCGGCACTAATTGGACCTGCCTCCAGAGGGTAAACATTGTTTCTAACCTCTCTTTTCTGAGGATGGTGGTTGGGATGGGAAGGGATGGGCTATCATTAGATCAACTCCCAGCTGGCAAATATGGGTGTGGTGTAATGGCCAAGTCCCCCAAATTGGTTAGCAGTATTGAAAGCCACCTGACTATTGGTTCAACTACAGTCTTTGTGTTTGTGGAATCCTTGACATACTAATTTAAGAACATTAATGGCTATTTGGACAGCAGCTAGTTAATAGTTACTCAAGTTCCAGGCTTTCGCACTGATGAAAATCAACACCTGACTGAAGCAGACATGGGTCTGTATTTGAAATAGCAATCAAACTGGAGCTAAAACTAAATAACCTCTTATTTTTGTGTGCATGATAAAAAGTATATTGGATAAAAAAAATATGAAAAATGGAAGAAGGCATCCTGACATTGTTTGACATTCGACAACTTGTCCTAGAATGCTCCTGTGGCACATAATCAAATACTGTATACAGTTTTGTATCTTTAAATGTAGTAGCCAGTCCAGTCCAGCCCTTTGTGTGATCTACTTGTATTTTCCAACTTACAGCACAGTGTTCAGTTGAAACAACTGTGTCTAGTGTGTTCAGCAATTCTAGGACAAAGTCAGCCATGCATCACTTTATGTTCACAAGTTGGTAGCTTCTAGCCAGAGCCAGGATTATCATATGCCCAATGTCATAATAAAGCCGTGAATTTTTTATCCATGTTCAGTACAGTATATACAAGTTCTCTTCTTGAACTGAAAGACTCCCAATAGAAAACTTCAGATACGGTATGTTTTACCCATGAAGTAGGCCTGACTTCTTAAATCTCAAACTATATTTTGCAATCAACATTACTTGCATTAGACAGTGATAAAAAAATTATGAAGTGCTGGCTCCAAGGAGATAAAAGTGGCCATGGAAAATCCCTGTGTAAGATATGATAGAAAATAAAGATGATTTGTGAAACCTTTTTAGTGCTTTGTTTTGTATAACAGGTTGGTACTATATTTGTAATCCATCTTCTTTGTGTGCACCATTTAGCTAAGTAGATTTTAATTTAATTATTACTTAATGGAGTTTTGCGGTGTTTGTACATTGTGTTCTGTTGAATTTAATGTGTATTGCAGTACTTGGGGACTGAACAGAGAAGAATATCTTCAAGGAGGCGAAATACAAGTGATAATAATGCACCTCCTGAAGTTGAAGACCTAACTCGTCCAGAAAGATATAGTGCCATTGATGATAGTAATGACGATAGTAACAATAATGCCATATCAGCAGAGAGGCAACAAAATCAGTGGAATTTCGAGCCTCCTGCTGTAGACTTTCATAACCCAAACCTTTTGTTCGGGAACCTTCTTGAAGATTTACCAGTGGCAACAGTTGATGACCACAACCCACGCCCTAGACCGAACCTATTTATGCCACGGTTGCCGAGAGAAATGCGCCTTTCCACGAGACGTACGTATTCTTGACACACACACTTGCAGATCCAGTCACTCAGACTTGTTCACTTTTTATCTTTTTCATGTATTGGAAGATACATACTCCTCCACTGTTCTTATCATGGTGAGTTATGGTAGATCTTTTCAGGGCTCTCCAGTGATGGCACATCTTGTACTTTACTGTCGTGTACTTGTTCTTCTGACACACAGATGCTCTTATTTTATTCTTGCAATATTATCTTTGACATCTTTTTCACCTACATCTACTCCTCTTTTCTTCTGTTTCTACTCGTCTCAATGTTTTTATCAGTTCTTTTATGTGGCCCTTATCATTTTTCTGTACAGTATATGTTTTATAGTTTACTTGTCATTTTCATACCTACCAGTTATTAACATAATTTTAAATTCTTACTATTCCTTTTCTTTAGTATTCCTTTAATGTTATACTGTATAATAAGAAGGACTGAATTACTGATATGTACGGTATACCATGTAGGGGTGAGAATTTTGCCTTGTTATTTTTAAGTTTTTACTATAAAATAGTTTCTAAAATGAGTACCTATGTGTAACTTTCTTAGGTATTGTAAGTAGTTTGCTCTCAGCAGTGGACCAGGCAGTGTCTTCCTTATGTATTTTTGTCATTGACACACCACAGTTCATTGTTCCTGAACCAGTACAAGCAGGGCCGCATTAACAATGGTGCCCAAGGACCCTGGCCGGGGGCCCTGGGTCTGGGGAGGCCCTTGAGCTTGCAAATATTTGTTATAATAATAATGTAAAATTTGCAGCCCATTCATTGCAGCATAAAGAGTAAATGTTTGCAGTACTGTATTGTATAAGGACACATTACAGCTCCTCCCCGACTTACGACGGGGTTAGGGACCCAAATCCAGGTCGTAAGTCGAAAATGCTTAAATAATGCATAGAAAATCCAAAATGGGTGTCTCTTTTTCTTCTCAGCACCACAAAACTCACTTTTAAGCTTGCCAGCCATTTTAAAGTGAATTTCAAACGAAAATTTTGTCAGTACACAGCACAATCACTGAAATTGGGACTCGAAAATACATAATTTGACAAAATTTTGGTACGACTGAGGCGGTATGTCTGGGTGGTCATAAGTCGGGGGAGGAGCTGTTATTTATATTAGTAATACTACTAATTAATATATATACTGGTATTTCTCAGTTTGCACTATCTTTTTGTTTAAATATGAATGCTAGTGCACACACCCCTCTCCATACCCACCCGGAGCAGAAATACTCCGCATCAACAGTCACTCGTTCAGTCTCGTGCTCACGTTCGACCATCATGTACGTGCTTGGGTGTGTTGTGTGAGAGCTGCTCGGCGTGACACTCATTGATTCATATTTATCATTGGATTTTATGTCTTTACTAAGTTTACTGTGCATTGGGTGAATATGATTCTGTGCTTTGGAGTTATGGTACTGTATAACGTGAATTTGAGGAACTGCAAATATCTACCAGTCTACCTATGCATTAAATTTGGTAATTTATGATATTTATCATATTCTATTCTGTATTTCTGGCTTTCAGTTTCAGTTATTAAAATAATGAGTGGCAAAGGTTTAAAATGGAGCTGCTAAACACAAAGCCAGTAAACAAAAACAACAACAGTATTCTGCTGAACTTAAAAAAAAATAAGTTACTTCTTCTTTTTTAATATACTAGTGTAAACCAAAATGAGAAAAAAAGACTTGCCACACTGTAGTACCTCATCTGCTGATGCTACACCTGCTACTGACCAACTTAGCTGTAGTACCTCATCTGCTGAGCCTAATGTTACACCTACAACTGACCAACTAAACGAAGAGGACTTACCTGGCTGTAGTACAGGTACACCACCGATTATCTGGGAACTGATGGTCCGGCACCTCCTTTAGTCTGGACAAAATTATGAGGGGGCACTTGACCTCCCTCCCTCCCTCCCAGCCAGGGTGAAGCTAGTTTTAGGCTTAAAGTTTTTATCTTATAAAATGTAGAGTGCAAAATACTACTCCTTATGTTTAGATTCTACACCTGATACTTCAAAAACTGACCAACGTGCATTCACTATTCGGTATATTTCTTCATCTGGTGAACCAGTGGATCGTGTTTTGCTTTACCTTCCCGTCAGTAGTCACACAGAAGAAAAAATGTGTGATAAAGTCCTGGACTCATTGAATGAATTGGACATAGATATTCAAAATTGTCGTGGACAATTGTACGATAATGCTGCCAGTATGTCTACGAAATATGAAGGTCTCCAAAGAAAAATCAAAGATGTAAATAATCTCATTGTGCTGCCCATTCATTGAACCTGGCAGGAGTACCCTGTACATAGTGTTAGTTGTTGTTTGGAAGCCATAAAATGTTTGGGTTTGCTGGACAAACTTCATTCTTTCTGCTCAGGATCAACACATTGTTGGGCTACCTTGACAAAGGTTTTCACTCCAAATGAAAACAACAAGATTTTAACTTTAAAACGCTTGTCAACTATGCGATGGTCTTGCCATGCTGAGGCTACAAAAGCATTGTGCCTGAACTACTAAGACCTATATGAAAACATGAAAGACTTTGTGGCTAATGATGATGTACCTGAATCTATGAGGTCAGAGGCAAATGGATTAATTGATGGCCTAGAGAAGCTTGAAACAGGTTTCGTGGCAAAAATGTGGAATAGAATACTTATTCGGTTCAATAAAGTGAGCTTAACTCTGCAAAAGGAAAGTGTGGATTTGCTGACAGCCACATCATTGCTTGAGTCTTTAGAGGAGTTCACTGAGAAAATGCGTGAAAAATTTGACGAGATTGAAGATGATTCAAAGAACACCATGCCATGCACAAACCAACATTATCAACATGAAGAAAAACGTCAGAGAAAACGAAAGAGATATATTGCTGAAAGTAAATCACCAGATGAAGAAGTCACAGAATCCTCAGGTCAGATGTTCAGTGTGCAAACTTTCACACTAATCATAGATAAACTGAAGACTTGTCTTGCACAACGCAAAGAAGCTTATAGAGGACACGCAGATGATTTTGCATTTCTAAAATGTTTCTCGGATCAAAACAAAGCATAGCTTTGAGAATATTTCTGTCATTGCATGTCACAATGTGTGAAGCAGAAAGCAGCGTCTCAAAAATGAAACTGGTGAAAAGTGAAAGGCGTGCTACAATGAACCAAGATAAGCTGAACTGCCTTTTCCATCATGTCCATTGAAAGCGATCTAACATGCGTGATTGACTTTGAAGATGTGGTTTCCCAGTTTGCTGCTATGAAAGCTCGAAAGGCCAACGTTCAGTTAAATACATCGATAAAGTACTTCATCTAGATACGGTTGTTTCTTCCAATAAATTAATTAAAATCAGTCATTCTTATTACTACAATTTTGTCAGATTTTATTTTATTGAAAGGTAATTTTTTTTTCCAAGTAATCTAAGTACGACTGCTGGTGATGAATGTATGCAACTTAAAACTTAGAGAAAACGCTTGAAATGGCCTTATAGTTTATTATTTTATAAGTTGAATTCACACAAAAAATAATAATTAAATAAACTACCTTTATTTGAAATTTACAATGTCTTTCTTTTTCCTGAAAAAAGTAGGGGGATGGGGTAAGGGGGGCCCCTCTCGATAAAGTGCCCGGGGCCCTAGATTGTCTTGATGCGGCTCTGAGTACAAGTAATGTACTTTTTGACACACATTTAGTGCATGTTAGGATTTTCATTTTGGAAGCATTTGTTTGTAGTACGGTATTAATGCTTCAGGAAACATGACTGTAAGAGGATCAGGAATTGCTTCAGCATTTCATACAAAACTACAGTAGATTTAAAGAAATTCATATGATAATAGCGGTAGAATGAGAAAGTGAAAATAAGAAATTGAGATATAGAGTTTAACATAGTTTCCTTTTGTGTTTCTAACAAAATTACAACATTGTCATCCTTTCATCATGCAGCATTTAGATTTTAGGCATGACCCTTACTGCATGTCTCACCATGGCAAGCTTTATCAAAAATTTAGCCGAGATTGCTTTTTTGAACCTGGGAGTTCTGTATAGAGCCAGGCCCTACTTTATTAAAGAGCAGTGTGCCAAGTGCTCTTCCAGATGGAGTAGTACAGTCAATTGTGTTTTGGGGCACTTTGCCTCTATGGTTCAGTGCATATATAGGCTGTCAATACAGTCACCATTAATAACCTTGCCAGAAAATATCCAGCATTGCACATTTGTAGGAATATTTGTGTTCATTCAATAGATACTATTACAATGTTCTGACAAGCTACAGTCGGTTGTTCTACAGGTTTGGTTCCCGGCTGTAGTGGAGGACTGGATTCACTCCCTGTACCCTAGCCAGTGCACATTCATCAGTAAAATGCATGCACTGTTGGTACCCAGAGATGGAAAATTCCATCTGTGGACTAGCTCCGTGCCATGGGAGTTGGGTAGTTATTGAATGCTAAGATTACTGTAATGGGATCAGCACTTGTCTGGCTACCCAGCATCATAGTAAATTTGTACAAATGGGAAAATATATATACTGTATACAGTAAACATCTTTGGAATTTTAGTCTTTCCTTCTCATCACCTACAGCTCATTTCACCACCCACAAAGCATCATATAGCAAAGACACATTCATTTACATTTATTATTATAATGCTAAAAATTGAATCTAGAATCATAAGGGTAGATCTTTTGTAATATCCCTGTACTGAATTTTATTTTCTGTATTTTTTTATCTTCTTAGGTCAACGAAGCAGATCCAGATCGCCGCAACTACCTGATTATCCTCGAGATGCGCCACGGACACCTGAATTCCTTCGAGACCTTGACGAGCTCATGACAGAAGTAGAGAGTAGGATGCCTCCACCTCGTATCCTTGGCCAAGCAGAAAATTCCCTCTCGGCAAATCAATTAATAGCTCAGGAACACAGTAACAGAGTGGCACAGATGACAGTCCCACAGGCACCTCCAAGTCCACCCCCACCAGAACAACCAACCATCTCGTGCCTCGTTTGTTTAGACTCTTTAGCTACAATACAAAATACTTCACGTACCTTATGCTCGACTGTGTGCGGTCACGTTTTCTGCTCAGCTTGTATTGAAGAGGTTGTAAAACAGAGGAAACAGTGCCCAGTTTGCAGGAAAAAGTTAACAAAGAAACAATATCATCCACTTTTCATTTAAAAAAAATCTTGTTTTCTCCGGCAGAATGAAAGGAGGTAGTTTAGTGTATATATTGATCTCCTTCAACATGTGAGTTTATGTAACTCTTGTGTGAAAGAACAACAGTGTGTAACTTCTCGTGTACATAAGAACCCAGTACTCCAGCTACCCCATGTCATGATAGTGCAACAAGACATCATTCTAATAATGTAACATATTTAAGAGTGTGTGTGTAAATCATCTGTGTCAGTGTTATATAATGTTTAGAAAAAATCTTAGACTTGCAGTGAAGTAGCACAAAAGCATCCAGAACTTTGAGCACAATAAATTCCAAGAATTTTCTTTTATAAGGAGTTTCTTAAAGAATCTGTTGTTGAGATTGTGCATTTTATTTTATACTTGGCAAGAATTTTTTCGACAAATGTTACAGGAATAAGGAAACAAAGGCAAAAAAAAAGTGAACTTTCAATTATTCAAGAGTACATTGCATTGAATCACAAAAAGTAAAATGTAATTTTTGAGGAAAACTTAGCACAATTCTTGCATATGTGGCTGGTGATATCTAATGAAGAGGAGGATGAGTATATGTGTAGAATTACTTCTCTAACATATGCTGATAGACACTGGTTATGATTGTTGCATGGCGTGAAAATTGCACAATTCCATCATTGGTCGAGATATTACGGATAGCACCACTAGATATGCCAGGAAATTTAACATGAGGTTATGTATTGTAGCTATAGCTTCTGGAACTTCTTCAACTTCCTCTTGGGTATGTAACTTGTAACCTTGATATTTCACTAGATAATTCCTGTGCTTCATGTATCATTTAACAGTCATTGAAACATAAGTGTTGAATATTTGGGGTTTTGCTTGGTGATATCTTTACAGTATATTTTTTTAAGAGAAAGCAAAAGAGAGAGAGAGAGAGCCTGTACCAGTAAGTGCAGTTCTCTTTGGACACAGTACTACATGTATCAAAATATCACCCAAAATTACCACAAATATACTTTTTGCAATCAAAGCAGGGCATTTAGTAGCCTAAAATTTGGAGAGCCTTGGACCTATTTATAAAAATTACAGGAGTCTCAATGGATTCTCAATAGTTGAGGTAAAAAATTAGGATCCATCATGTTCTATTAAACAAGTACAGTATTTTGTAACAACATAGTCATGCAAAGCAGCAAAGATGTGTTTTATTAACGCTAACAAAAATAGTGTAAACTTTTAATCACAGAAGTGTACAGTACAGTATAAGGTTAAGTGGGCACCAGTCTTGTCCATCATTCTGAAGTGATGAATTGGATGAAGATCTTCCCCAAAAGTTGCTGCTGTGTTGACTAGATTGTACTTCACCTTCCCCACTCAAAGCATCAAAGGACCAACATTATTGACATTAAACAGGTTGGTTGTGAGTAAGTTCCTTTTGACTTTTTGAAGTTGATCCTAAATGAATCTTGGGGAATTGTATGCCTTTATGCATTTCTTCAATGGTCATTGAGACACCATAATTATAGGGTCCCTCAGTAAAACTTCCATGTATCCTGTCAAACCTGCAGATTTAAACTTCAGTGCATCTAAAAAAAATTCTTGTGTATTAGGAACCTAGATCCCTAGGCTATTGAATGCCCTGCTCAAGGATTTTAAGATGGCAGTGTGTTTTTATTCTTACTCCATAATATAATTTGGTAAAAATAAACATAGATTTTAAAAAAAAGATGTTGATATATTGCCCAATATTTATCCATTCTTTTAACTGTGATAAGAAAAATTACATTTTACATACCTATTAAAATCTGACATTGTAGCTAGTGAAGCTCTTGCTAACTAACCTGGGAATGAGGGCTTTTATACCATCATTTTAGTTAATTAAACCTTACCCCTTAGCCATGAGGTTTTTACTGATTGGCTAGAACTGGAGAAGTATTCACCATTCCAACTAATTTATTTAATACAGTATACCGGGTATGTACTCATTATTTAAAGTTCTTTCTGGTGATCTTGTGTTGTGTCATTATTTTGGAGGTTATCTTGTTGCATCAGTTTACATTGTTAATAGTGAGTTATTAATGAGGAAGGTGTTTTCAAGCCAGCAACAAAATTGACGTCACTAACACAACACAAGGTTAGTTAAGTCAGGACATACTGTATGCAGTCAAGATATGCAGTTACATTATCAAGTCCAAATAGCCTTTTTAGAATGTTCCTCATGTACAGTATTACGAACTTAAATGCAGGGTGGCCAAAACCAAGAACAAACGTATCACATTCACTGTCACTCATTCTCTCTGATAGCACATATGTTCTGATATTGTGTTTTCCTTCTGCAGTTAAACCCCAAGACATGAACCTTATTGATGCCAGGTATCCAGTAATTCATGCACACTGCTGCTTCCTCATATAAATCACATGCAGTACAGTATAGTAAGATTAATGTATTGACAAAGTGAAAGTGGGTCCCATCAGCAGTACAAATACAGCACATTGAATGAAAGACTTAGTAATACAAGGAGGTAGGTTAGGTATTCATTTACAGCTGGATGGACAGTGTGCCCTGGGTACAAACCAGAAGCTTTTAGGACATGAGGTGAGTGCTGTATCCAGTTGGCTGGAGTAACCCAAAAAGTTAAACCTTGTAAACACAGAGATAGTTGTCAAGGGTTTCCTAATTAATTCTGAAAAGTGTTAAGAAAAAAAGTGATTACATAGGGTACGTTGAAAATTCTTAGCTTCTGAAACAAAAGAAAATGCATAATGAAAGTGTAGAATAATAACAAATCCCATACAGTAGTAACAAAAATCTGATTATTCATTTATTTTGGTAGAGCCCATAAAATTTATTATTTGGAAATGAACTTAACTTATCTCAACATTTCACTTGCAGATGTACACTCGCTACATAAAGTATCTGCAAAGTGGGGTCCGATGGATGTCAAAATGAACACTGCGACTCCTGTTGTCCTGGTAGGGTTGTCAAAATCCTTCTTCCATTGTCATATTGTCTAGAAAAAAATTCTGAAGATACTTTTTGTAGTGAGTGTACAGACTATGGGATTATTAATAATGGTCATTGCAACTTCTAAGTTATGAAGCCATTGTGGGTGATTTCAGGAGGCAAAATCAGTTCAATTCAATATTGGGGATACACTGCTGATTACAAACCATGAGATACTATACTAGGGGTTATTTAACATTGTAAATTGATATTACAGTTCTTTGATGTCATCATTTATTATCAGTGATTCTGTCAAATTACATTATTTCCTCTACTTTGGAAATGTTCTTTTTTTATTATTATTTATCAAGATCATTACATAACTACTCAATTTAATTTGTCTGTACAGTAGCTAAAAAAGTATCTGACAGGGTGGGTCCGATGACTTCCGAAATTATACTTCCAACTCGTTATGTCTCGGCAGGGTTGGTACGAGTGTCTTCACCCACCGCCATTCAGCATCCAACACAGGGAGTGAGTTGCTGTATAGGAATAAAATAAACGGTTAAGTGTTTATTATCACAGAGTGTAAGAAGACAACACGCTTATCCTAATACCAATCGTCCGTGGTCTCTTGTTGTTTCACATAGCATGCACAGATACTTTTTCTAGCTACTGTACATACTGTATTGATGTGAAGAAATTGTGGTACAGTACTGTAATTGAAATGTGAACAATGTGACACTAATTATTGAGCAGAGACCCCAGTTGTATTATGAAGTTGGACCAAACCATGGCAGATAATAAGCAGTGAAATAGTACATAACTTTATTCAGTATTGTATGCTTGATAACTTTATATTTACATGAATGAATACCTTCTATAATAATGATTTTTGGTGATAAAAATATGTACAGTCCTCCTGCCAAAAAGTGTAGTTACTTTTTCCTTCTGTACAATTTGAAACACTGGACAAAATGCTTTGATGTATTTTCCAGCACATCATTATATGTTGGTATGCCTGCTCCCCACGTCGGTAACAGTACAGTACAGTATTCAAATATACTGTACACACCCTACCGGATGTGTATAGTAATTATAAAATATCTGCAGGAATAAAACTTTTGAGTAAATTACTGGTTATTTTAATATTCTGGAAGTTCTCTGTACAATAGTGTTGCCATATAATTTGATCCACATAGTAGATACAGTAACTGTGTATACCAATATCCCTACCTGTGGTTGACTGTATTGACCGTTCACAAACCGTTCAGTTTAATTTTGATTTCATGCATAACAAAGAATATCCTATATATTTATTATTAGGCAGCAACAGACAGTGAATATCTGCATCAGTATTTTAATTTCTATTAATTAGTGGCTAATACCACAGAATTTCTCAAGGTACAATACTGGACCTGTAAAATGATTTTAAAATATATCAAGGGAAGTGGTATTCATTGTTACCATATGAATTCTCTTTTAAAATGTCTGTCTGGCATGTGAAAGGCAAAGTTGTCACATGAAGATATAACATTGCCTCTAGACGATTTTGTCGTCTTCTTTTTGTGTGAAGGTTGAGAAATCAAGGGGTATAGAAAGTTAAAAGAAATGGGAAATAATAGGGGAAAGTTATGCAGAAAATGACATGATTGGTCCAAGACAAGCCAAAAGAAATACTCCACACATGCTCTTTAGTATACTGTACCACCAACATATCTGGTGAGAGCCCCAATATTGTACGAGTGAAATGGTGTATTTTCTTTACCTTTTCTTACATCTTACAACAGACATCCCTTGATTGTTGGTTTCACTGGTGTAACATCACAATTCTGGATATACAGTATGGAAATATCATTTTTAACCCCACTTACCTCATAATTCCATAATATAAATATTTTGTCTAGTGTTTCAAATTGTAGTCACGGAAAATCTACCGTAACGATACTTATTGGGGGGACCGTGCATTGTTTAATTAACTATTGTGTATGGCAAAGCTCTACTTACTTTTGTCTCTCAAGTCATGATGCACTTACTGATTGTTTGTAATTTTTAAAGTTTTGAGTTTTTGCTGCAGTGTTTATAGCATTTATAAATGGGTTTAGTAAGTTTCTTAGAACAGGTCCTTGTTTATATTGGCTCCACTAGATTCAAAGTTTATGTAGATGACCATTTTTCATCACCCAAATTTTGATGATACCAGGTTAGGCATCATATTTTCCATCTCCATGTGCATCAGGCAAAAACATCTTTAGCACTGCACACTACAACACCACCACCACAACATAGGTATTCTCTGAATCTCAAGCTGATAAGAGTCTTAGCCACTATACCCATACCCAATAAAATAAAACGTGTTATGTCGTATGTTGGTGAAGCATTACGGTAACCCTTAGGCCCCGGGTGACGTTCCAGAACGTCCGCCTATTTTCCCGCCTTTTTTATTATTATTATTATTATTATTACAGTATTGTTATTATTATTTAAATTTTTTTATTATTATTTTTGGAAAAGTTAATTTTTTTTTCTCGATTTATCCCGTGGGGGGTACTGCCAGCAGCACCCTAACCGGGGGCTTAAGGGTTGATGCCATAACTTAGGCCTTATTTCAAGGCCTTCAAGGCCTTACTCCTTGAGGATGTTCTGTTTCACCCTAATATTCAATCATGTTTAAGTCATTCAACACCATTTCAGTAATTCAACCAGTAGAGCTAATGTGGTGGTCATGTTTTCAGTACCATTTATGAGGATAGAAAATAGTGCTTTATATGATACCACAGATGGATTAATTGAAAGAAACTGTAAATCTTGGATCAATTGAGAGATAATCTAGATCAAGGATTAATTGAAAGGTTGTATGGGTCCTGGATGTATCAAGAGATGGCAATTTGTGGATCAGCTGTTCACTGTGAGAATCTTGAAGATATATTTTACCAAAATTTTTATAGTCAATGGGAAAGGGATTAAATTTTTTTTTAGTACAGGTATTGTATAATGTATCAGGAAAAACTGCAAGGAGTGTGCACAGGTGTGTGCGTGTGAGAAAAGACTAGGGGCAAGTTTGTTAGCTTTGTAAGGTTAGAATATGTAATAGCCAAATTAACAGGTTCAACTAATATCTTCAGTGTTCAATTAATTGGTAAATATAATTTTCTTCATTTCATCAGGGGTCAAAAGTTTATCCCATATTTGAGGGTTTGAATCACATAAGCCTCAAATTCTTCATCCCAGCCACTTCAATCTTACAGGAGTTTAACTTCTAATTTTGTAAAGACTGACAATGTACAGTATACTGTATGCTGATGAGATGGTGATAAAAGATATACAGGTATACAGAAATGAAAATACAAGTGCAATATTATTGCACTATGTTAAAAAGTTAAGGATATTGTACCTGTATTGTGATATGTGAATGATGGTGATAATTGAGTTTGCAGATAGATGGTCAAAGGAAAGCATTGGAGATGTAAAAAACTTAAGACTTCAAAAGAGAGATTTAAGAGATGCAACTTGCAAGTGTTTTATGGGAAAGGAGTGGGTGTGGTTCACCTCATGTCAGGGGTTCCCAGACTTTTTAATCTGATGAGCACCCAGCTTATTTTTAGATGGTGAAGGGAGCACCACTGCATTTTTGCAAAAATTAGGAATAAAACCCGTCCAAATTCTTTCAGGCCTGTGTTAATGCCCTATAAAACTTAAAAGTACAATTCCTTTTACAAGATTGACCAAACTTGTATACTGTATACATTTACCAACATTATCTAAAAAGTCTTTTAATGCAGTCCACAGGCCAGAGCAGAGTACTGCCATGTACTTAATGTGTACAGTATACTCCACCCAACAACTGCCGCCAGTTGGTCACGTAAAAGATCACACCATCAGCTCAGTGTCTTGTGTGTATTGAGCAGAACTACAAAATCCGTCATAGTTAATTTCTTTTTGCAGTGTATCGTTTTGTGTTGATGGCAGCTTTTAGAAACATCAGTTCATATTAGGTTCAGCAGTTACAGCAGAATGCCTGGAAGGTCAATTTTTTTTTTTTTTTTAATAACAGAACTCTAGTTTATGTTCAGCTTAATGTCTTCCTGTATTCGATGATATAAATTGTAAGATTTAAAACAAAACTTTGTGTCTAGTACTGTAGCAGATGCAAACATGATCAGTCCTCAAAGCCGTGCTTGAATGCTCGTTGTTTTCTCTCCTTTTCTGCTTTACACTTCCTCTTCCCTCCCTTCACAACACTTAATATTTCTACTTTAGAAATGAGTGAATTTAGTGTCCTTTTTATACATTAATATATGTTACTGACTGCAATAATGTGATTTTTTATACTGTATACAGTAACTGTTTGAGTTTGTCACCAATTATCTTCTTTTTTTTTTTTTTTTTATCCGTAACGGTTCACTGTGTCATGCACCTTAGTATATTTGTCTGGCTTTTCACTCAAGATTGTCTCTGCTTTCTTAACCTTTAGATTACTGGACAAATATATACTGAGGACTACAACGTATACAGGTACACCCAGTTGAATGTTTTATATTAAAATTTTTGTGTCCTGTTAGATCATGATAACTTCCCACCCTGTCCATATTCCAGGAGCCATATTATTCCATGTACAGTTATAGCCAAAATTTTTAAGATAATTTTGTCAATATCTGACGTCTACATGTAAGTTATACATGAGATTTGATTTATAGCTGGTGAATAGTGTTTTTCATATTATTAGGATAGTACTATGAAAATAAATGAGTACCGAACAATTTAATACTTGTTAAGCTCCTAGTCCATACTACTTAACTAATGAAAATACTTGAGTACATTAAATACTGTACTGTACTTGTTAAACATCCAGTCCTTACTACAGAACTAACCTGACCATTAAGTAGACAACAGAAATTGCTAAAAGCATAAAAGGAAGTTTATCCCCAACTGTACCAAAGGACCAAGTGATTCCCTTTTAACAGAGAAAGTGGAAAAGGTGTTGTTAAGTGCAGTGTTGTCTGGTTTCTTGACTACTGTACAATTATAACACGCTTTGGTAGGCATAACGATTGTATAGTCAGACAATCAGACTTAACTGGGTTTTGAAATTACAAGATAAATTTCATGAGAAAAGAGAATGTTGATTTCATTACCACAAGAAACACTCAGGTTTGATTTTTATTGTTAGTGTTTACAAGATGTGCTTGATGATTTAAATGTTCCAACAAATAGTCATTAAGATGGAAAAATTTGAAAAATAGACTACATTTTTCAACCGACATGAACCAGGGAAATTTCTCAGCCAAACCAAAACTACACTAGGATCATCAAGTTAAGTTCAAAGGTTCAGGTCAACTGCTCCAAATGAATGGTTGTGTAGTTTTGTTCACAGTATTGTTCTAACATTGGCCACCTTGCAGTGTTCCAGTTCATTAAGTCTACTTAGTCTCTTGTGTTGAAGAATGACTGAAGGATGCATTTTTATGCCATTTTAAGTTTGTAAATACTTAAATACTGTAAATAAAATGTAAAATGTGGAACAGGCATTTACAAAATGATGTACTGTACTGTATTTGACTAAAAATAAAATTGTTGTAAATATAAACTTTGTATTTCTGTTATTGCAAAGGTGAGCAAAATATTGCTGTGTACATGCAGTACTGTATGTCAGTTGTACCTGACCCTCTAAATTTACAATATTTTTTGGTTGATAATGTGGTTTGGTAGCTTTGGATGCAAGGGTAAGCTTATGGAAATATGTACAGCGCTGTACTATAAAAGAATATACCAAACTTGAAGAAACTTAGATTCACAGTTTGTGTACTGTACATTGTATGGGTTTGTTTTCCTGTTTCACTACCTTTTTTTTGTTGTATTTTTTTTTCCTACAAGTGCATGTAATTGTGAACATAAAATAAAATTAAGGAGAAAATGATTGGTGTAGGTAGGGTGTGGGGAGTATACAGTTTCCTGTGTGCTGGTAAACAGTAAGGCAACTTGACCAAGGATAGCCGACAAAGCTGTCAGGTGCTTATTTCCAGGAGGGTCCTTTGTTTAGGCTTATTCTTGATTTCTAATTAGATAATAGTATGTTTACAGGATATTTTTGAAAGTTTATCTGATAGAAATCCACAAGTATTATGTTGTTTTGGGG